TTCTGGCTTGGGCTTCTCTTCAGGAGATTGTAGTTCAGAAGACTGCAGCCCTGGTCGGCACCCTAAGTCTTGACTGGGGCTGGAGGATCTGCTTCTGAGATGGCTTGGTCACATGGCTGGTTGGCAAGTTGGGGCTGGTCATTTGCAGGAAGCCTCAGATCCTCACCACAGAGACCTAACCATAGGACTGCTTGGGTGTCTGCATACCAGAGTCATCCGAGAGAGAAAGAAGCAGTCAGGTCTTTCATGATCTAGCCTCTGAAGTCACACAGTATCACAGTTATCTTGGTTGCTGGCTTACCACAGCTGTTCTGGAAATAACATGAGGTGTGAAGAGAGGAGCTGTTTTGGCTTCTTTTCTAACAGCCATGCTGTGGAATGGGATAGAAAACCCCTTGCATGGTAGGGGCACCTCCCCTTCTTAGTTTGAAATTAGTTTCCCTGTAAATCCAGGTTATTAGGGACAAGTTCCCCCCTGCCCCCCTTTTTTTGCAGTCTGTAAATATCTGCTTTATATATTTAAGATGCTCCTATGTTGGGTGCATAAATGTTACAGAAATGTTTAGAAACATTACATCCTCTTGTTGGATTGACCCCTTTACCATTATGTAATGTCCTGCTTTATTTATTAGCCTTTGTTTCAGAGTCCATTTTGTCTGATATATGTATAGTTGCCCCTGCTTTCTTTTGGCTCCTTTCCATGGACATCCATTCACATGAGTTGTGTGTACCCTTACAGCTGGTGAGTCCCTTGTAGGCAGCATGTAGACGGTTCTTGTGTTTTCTGTGATTGGAGAATTTAGTTTTTTTTTTTTTTTTTAAAGTAGGCTCCACACTGGGTGTAGGGGGTTCAACATGCGGGTTGAACTCATGACCCTGAGATCAAGACCTGAGCTGAGATTGAGTTGGACACTCATCCGACTGAGCCACCCAGGTGCCCCAGTTCATTTACATTTAAAGTAATTATTGATAGGTATGTACTTATTGCCATTTTTAACATTTTTTTATTTACTGCCATTTGTTAATTATTTTCTGGCTGTTTTGTAGCTCCTGTTTCTTCTTGCTTTCTTTGTAGTTTGGGGACTTTTCTGTAGTGGTATGTGTGTCTATTACTGGATTTTGTGTGGTGGTTACTATGAGGCTTACAGGTAACTTCTATTTCTACCAGTCTATTTTAAGTAGGTAAGTTTGAACACATTTTTACCCCCCCACCCCGCTTTAATGTTCCTGATGTCACATTTTACGTCTTTTATCTTGTGTATCCCTTATACTTTTATTACTTTTACCTTTTAACCTTATACTACTTTCAAGATTAATCCACTACCTTTATACTTACCTTTACCAGTGAGATTTATACTTTCCTATATTTTGTTGCTAATAATTAGCACGCTTTTTGGCTTAAAAACGTCCCTTTCACATTTCTTGAAAGGCCAGTTTAGTGGTGATGAACTCTTAGCTTTTGCTTGTCTGGAAAACTCTTTCTCCTTCAATTCTGAATAACTTTGCTGGACAGATGTTTGGAAGTTTTTCTCCGAAAAGTCTATATACTGTCCTAGATGTCAGGAACAGTAATCCACTTCATGACCAAGCTCACTGCCAGGCTGTGTAGGCGCTCATATGTATAATGGAGGAGGGAAAAATCCTTCTTAGATCAGAGACAGCACAGTTTAACAGAAAGATGGCTTTGAGGCCAGATCTTCTTTGAAATCCTTATTCTCTAATTAGCTTTGTGAGCTTGGATAAATTCAGCTGAAGGAAAAAACCTATTCTGCAGAGGTCTTCTATCACAATAACTACTAATTACAAGCACCCTTTGAATCTCTCAATCCTATCAGCACCAGTCAGACCTGCCGGTTAATATATTTTTTTTAAGATTTATTTATTTTAGAGGGGGAAAAAAGAGTGTGTGTGCATACATGAGCAGGGGGAGGGGCAGATGGAGAGGGAATGAATCTCAAGCAGACTCCTATATTGGCGTGGAGCCCGATGGAGGCCTTGATCTCACAACCCTGAGATTACTTAAATGAAAAATCTTAAAAAATCGATCTGGTAGCGTCTGTACTTAGCCTTACTTTGTCTATACAAAGAAATACTCTTTTTCATTGGATTCACCTTGTGATACACTCAAGTTACGTTTTTGGAATTTACCTAAGCATTAGGAAAGTATATAGAAATATACTTATGTTTGGATTTTTTTTTTTAAGATTTTAAGTAATTTCTCTACCCAATGTGGAGCTCGAACTCACAACTCCAAGATCAAGAGTTGCATGCTTTACCCACTGAGCCAGCCAGGTGCCCCTCAAATTATTTTGATAGTGATCTGGCAACTCTACGGGTGTCCTCTGACATCTTATTTTTCTACCTGGTTTTCATAATTTTTAAGATCCAACGCAACCACCTAGGTCAGGGATTGGCAAATTCTGGCCTGTTTTGGTAAATAAAATTTACCAAACATAACCACTAAGTACTGTGTTCCAACAGGAGAGGCAAGTAGTTGTGACAGAGACATCCCTTGAAGAACAGGTCTGTCAACCCCCGTCTAAAGTCCTTCTTTGTTTAGGGCAGTGCATCACATGAGTGGACATCAAGGGAAAGCACCTTGGAAGTTAAGCTTAGTTTTATCTAATTTAAAGTCTGCCAGGATAAGACTTTTTTCCTGCAAAGCTATAAATGCTTAAAGATTTATCATTTTTCTCCATGGAGCTCATTCAAAGCTATCGGTCAGTAAGAGAGCATGTATAGAAGAGCTTTCTAGGTAGAGACTATAGCACCCAAGGAGGAAAGGCCCGTCTTGAGTCCTTGGTGAGTGATGAAAAGATTAACCAGTATCAAGGGGAAAAAAAAAGATCTTGTCAAAATTACTACTTGTGGACTCAAACAAAGGACACATTCCCACTGGAACAGAAATAAATTTTAATTTGTTGAAAAGTGCAGCAGTGAACAGGGTCTTTTGAAGGGCACTTTCTAAGTCAGGTGACTGAGATGACACAAAGCCAGAGCAGAGTAACTTCTAGGAACAGATGACACAAACACAGGAATTGACAGAGGTCATGGGACCTAAGTGGTGGTCAAAGTAAAAAACCCAAATATTCCCATCTAATTCATTGGCAGATTAGCTGAAATATCCTTTGCTTTTTCTTAATAAGGACCCTGGAACAATCCATCTTATTTTGTTAAAGCACTAATCCTTAGACACCAAAAATAAATTTAAAAACGTTTCTCACAGATTAAGATGTAACTTCCCTGGCTACTGTCACTATTTTGTACAAAATCCTTAATACTGTGAATTAAAATGTATTTTGCAACAGTACCGCTGGACAAATTCAAAGATGCTCAAAAGGGGTTCCCCACTGGGTTATTTGGGGGGGAGATTTTAATAGGAAATCTTATAAGGCAAAAAATCTCTATTCATTCCTGTGGCCTTGGGTCAGTTTTCTAATGGTTAGTTTTCTCCTCTGAAGGGCACCAACCAGTCCAGACCTGGCCTTGTAAAAGAGAAAACAATGAAAATCCAAATTCATACAATTAAGAGACTTGGCTTGCAATGTGTTCCTTGTACATATACATTCTGAAAAGTTCAGTGTGTTGAAGTCTGCTAGGCTATGAACTGAGTCCTCTTTATGAAAGATGATTTTAGCACAGATTCAGAATGAAGCCAGTCTAAGAGAAAGTCAAATTATAGGCCATTCCAAAGTTAGTAGGAAATGTACCAGATATAGGAGAGGTACACACAGTGGGCATCCCATCTCCACCACCCAAACAGAAGTCCGTGGAATGTTACGAGCAGTGTGGCAGGGTTACTATGGGCAGCTGACTTGTGTCACTCTTACGACTTTGCCGGCTCTCAGGAACCAGCATCACAAAACTGAATAATAGGACATCACAATAAAAGACCTGGTAAGAGTTGGTTTCTTTTTATTCAGGAATAACTATGGTCAACTTTCAGTAAGGTAGAAGTTGACTGATTAATGTTAAGAATCAAAGTGTAGAATAAAGCTGATACCCATATTTAACATTGTAGTTTGCTTTTAATTACAAAATATTTAGAATTTTTTTTCCTAAAACATTCACAGCAGAGGTGTTCATTTCACTTGCCGATTTCACCTCTAAATACCACCAGTTACTGGGATTGCATGAGGTAAAGGAACAAACCCAATGGCTATTAACCCAACATGGCTCCAGATCTGGAGTTCGGATAGAGAAGTTACTTACAGCCATGTCTTACAAAGTGCTTAAAGCTCAACCTAAGACCTTAAATAAAGCTAAGATCACTATTGCCTGAGTTGAACAGGTTATAAACCACAGCTCTTCCTCCTCCCCCTACTGTCCCACCACAGACTAGCTTTCTTGTGAAGAAAACAACAGAAACAGGATTGGTCTTTGAGCCCAGAAACCTACAAGTGTAGGTGTTCTAAACAGTGAGGAAACCTCAACAAGGTCTGACTTTGACCAGGGAATAGTGAATGAGGCCCAAATTACCCAAGACTCCAAACACTCAGGAAGAACTTCTCTAAAAGGGAAGAAAGCAGGGTAAAGCAGTTGGAACTTTGCATCAACTATACCAGATGAACAGAATGTCAACAAAATGCAGAGTCAAAACTGAACCCAGGCTCTCTGCTACACAGGCACTTACTCGTTCTCAACTATAGCCCTTCAGCCTGTCAACCCAAGAGCCCTGTCTTACAGCAGGCCCTCAGAAAATGCAACCTTCACCAACCCTTGGAAATTCTTTTTCTCTGCTGAGATACCTAAGCCACTTTGTTTTTCAGATCTCAGAGGGGTAATTATCAAAAGAAGACATTCCCTCTTGTGGTTAGCATGTGGTTAGCAGCCACCAGAAAGGAGATGGCTATCACCTTTTAGAACTACCTAGAATTAGCCTTTACCAAAAACTTACTGTTCTATGTCAGTGTAGCACCAGCCCAGAATGCAAAAGAAACGAAACAAGAAAACAACAAAAAACAGTGCTTGGTTGACAGATGGGTTTTGAATTTGTGACCTTATCACATTGTGACTAATCTGAAAATGGTGGTACTTGTTCTTGCTCTGATGGTTATTCAAGCCATGTGATGTTGGTATTTTTGATAGTGAAGTGGTCAAGCTGTAAAGTACCCCCCCGCCCCCCAAGTATTGCCATTTATCTGAATGGATTTACAAATTCAGACTCTGACCACATGGGGAATAATCAAGAACTGTAACCCCAGGAAAGGGTATGGTGGGAATGAAGACCTCAGGAGCATTCGTGATTAGCTGAGTGAAGGGACCAGGGCCAGCCACTCCTGACATAAGGGCAGAGTTCACAGTTTAACACTTTGCACAAGGAAGTCCGCCAATTGGGTTGCTTTTTCAAACAGGACTGAGAGCCAGTCCAGAAACTCTTCCAGGCATGGTCTTGAGGACTAGCTACCGATACCTACTACAATCACTCCATCAGGCAGAGGCGTGCGGGGACCCAGCTGCACAGGTCGCTACAGAGGATGCTTTGAAAACCTTCGCGTCCTGACCCTGCCATGACTGTTGAACATGAGCCGAGGGTCAAACCTGTATCTGGGGAAGGAAAGGGGTCACATTAACTCGAGTTAGCTGCTGAGCACTTCCTTCAGCATGTTCAGTGGAAAGGATAGCAGGAAGGGAGAGAGAAGGAACTTAAATCACCAGAAAGGAATAGAGTGGCAAAGTCTGTAGTACGGAAGTACTGAATAATGAAGAGCATTTCCAGCACAAGGAAGCAAGCACAAAACAATGTGGTAAAAAGCCAAGAGGAGGAAAAACAAGTAAGATTAATCTTGAGAGGCATTAGGAGGAGGCAAGATTTGAGCTGCCTTTTTTGTTTTTTTTTTTTTGAGAGGGGTTTGGAGGCATCCTGAAGTTTGGTTAAAGCAGCCTAATGGCAAGAGTCTAGCCCTTGCTGGAGCCCTACCAGAGCCCTTTACTTCACAGTTCAGACAGAATGACAGGTAAGAGCCCAGGTGTGCACCTCAGACACAAGTTTCCATCTGGCTCATTATGAACTCAGGTAAGTCATTAACCTCTCTGGCTACCAATAAAATAGTAAGGCAGTGTAATTCATGTGAAATATCTGGCACATACTATAAGTTGGCCAAGTGTCAAGTTACCATTCAGCTTTTACTCTTTTTGTTTGGTGGTAAAATTAAAGAAGGCAGATTGGCTGGAAAGACATTTCACATGTGTAGGCTAGACATAACATTGTACTTCACTTTTATCCTGCAATCTCTTGGGATAAACATATTTAGCATTATTTTAGAACAAGGGTGGACCATACACTCTCTGTTCCAATGACTCAACTTTGTTACTGTATGTAAATGAATGTTTGTGGCTATTTTCAAAGGGTGGTGGCTGGATGGGGCCTGTAGGATCTAGTCTGCTGACCCCCATTTTCAGAGGATTCTATAGGCCTGTTTGGTGGGAAAGAATAAGCTACTGCTAAGGAATTTAAAAAGAAATCAGGTGGTTTAAATAGCTGAGGCTAACAGTAAAGCCAGCATCTACAGTCTCGGTTATAAGCTTCTTAGAACGTGAGCAAGACAAATTACAGTTACAACAAACACAGCTTGCCTGGGAGTCACGAGGTCTTGCTGTATCAGTTCTAACCGTGACCCTTGGGCAAATTTCCTTCAGGGCTCTAGCGACTGCTTGGAAGTTCTCTGGTTAAGTCCTAACACTTCAGGCCTGATGCTCACGCTCCATTTGAGGATGGATTTAAGTCCCAAGAGTCATCCAGAGACTGCTACAGACAACTAATTTTACTTGATAAAACACTCTGAGCAAAGTAGCTGTTGGAAACTGCAAAATCATTATGTGTCAACTAGAAGCCTTGTGCCTTTTACTTTAGAGAATGAATTTCCTACTTCAAGGAACTGGTGTAAGTGAGGCTGCATTTCACTAACCTGGAGGAAAGCTCCAAACTGGGCAGTGAGAATGCTTGACCGATGCGTTCTGACTGATTAACAGGGTTATCCATATATAAAAAAAGGCTTAAGTGATATAAAATTATGATAAATGTCTTTTTATATTATTGTCACCTAGTTTTAGTTTGCTGACCTCCACATCTCTCTGGCTCTATATATGGTATTTAGAAGCAAAATGTTTTTTTTTCCTTTTAAGATTTTATTTGAGAGAGCAAGAGCAGGGGGAGGAGCAGAGGGGGAAAGAATCTTAAGCAGACTCTGAGAGCTGAGTTCAGAGCCCGGCGCAGGGCTCAATCCCATGACTCTGCGATCATGACCTGAGCCAAAACCAAGAATTGGGACGCTTCACTGACTGAGCCACCCAGCTGCCCCTACATTTCTTTAATCAACCGTCTATAATCCAGTTTCTCTGCTCATTCACACAGATTACTCTCTAATGTGTACTGAAGACATTTTACACAAAGACAGATAAATAACTGAGTTACTACTTAAGTTACTATTTTCCATCAATCTTCCCTCTTCCCTACTATCAAAATAAGAACTAAAATAATCCTTTCCTGGTGAAAATTAAACTTTAGATCTCATAATCTTCAAGCATAAAATGACAAGTTTCTTACCATAGGCAGTTCAAATTCATGGTATGCTGAGACCCACTGTCACTGGTGAAAAGTTACTATTTCAGAGGAATGAGTGGGAGGAACAGAGCTGGCTTAGGAGGTGATGAAAATCTTTTCTGCCTTCATATACTACAGTGGTCTTATGTAGTTCAACATTTCAGAGTCTATACCTTCTAATTCATTTTGTGTGTTTAGCATATTAAATTTACTGGCAAGCATTCCAGTTCCTCTAATTGGGGTTTCTGAGAAATGAACGAAGGCATATCCTCTCAGAAGTGCTAGGGAACAGGGCAGCACTTGGTCGGCTTACTCTAAAAAAGCCCCACCTGTCACCTGTGCAACCGACAAGAGCCACAGGAGGAAGGGGAGGAAGCAGAGCCCCATGCGCCGGGGGTCAGGGCTAGGCCTCCACGTAAAGCACCAACTGGAACCAGAGAGCAAAAGTTTCAAAGAACTTATTTTCTCAGCACAACAGACACAGTATTCCTACCATAAAGCAGAACACTGAGAAACACAGCTTAGCTCAAAGCCAAAAGGGCCCCTCAGCTGCCTCTGCCTTCAAGGACGGCATGATTGCTACAGACAACTTGGCAAAGCCATCGAAGACAAGGGAAACTTACCCAGGGTCAAACACCCCTGGAGTGCGACAGGTTGGTCCAGAACAGGACTGTAACATCATTAGCCGGTAGTTCATTTTTCCTAAAAGCTCTGGGTCTATACTTTTAGCAATGTTTGTGATTTGGTCTGGATCTGCAGTCAGGTTATAGACTTCTACAAATACCTGCAAAAATGCGAACATGGGGGAAAGAAAAGAACAAGCATTATATTTGAAGTACTCCTCGTGTGAATGATTTCTAAATGGGAAGGGAAGAGGTGGATAAGCACAGTGCCTGGGAGAACATCATCTGGTCTCAAGGTCCTCAGAGAGCCCCAGGATAGACACGAGACCACGGAGCATCTGTTCTCAGGGTTAAAGGGCTTCAGGTTCATGGCCCATGTGCTGGAAAGGGGCCTCCAGCACCCCCTGTGCCTTTCAGCAGAGATAGGAGGACAAATTTACTACCTTTTATAATAAAAGCAGAGAACAGAATGCAGGACCCTCAAATAGGCTCAGAAAGTAGACTGCTAATATTGTTAACAAAACAGAGCTGACATTTGATGGTTTTTGCGTTAGAATTGTTAAGATTCAAATGAGAATAGATATGAAAGTATTCTAACCTGTGTTGTACAGATGCTAAAGTTTCCTGTTTTAAAAAGCAGTTTTGGATGTCCACCGCCAATTGGGAAAGGACACAATCCCATTATTTCTGACACTGGATAGATCTAATATCACTATCTACCCCCACCCCCATACTTTATTCTCCAAGTGACAGGCTAGGAAGATGACACGTAAACATTATGGGGGAAAGGAGGAACAAGAACTGATTCTGAACGATGCTCTTCTGCTGCTGTCCACAGTGCTTATGAGCCGCAAACGAGTGGTAAGTCCATTTCTGAGAAACACAATGAGCATCGGCTCCATATAGCAAGATGTGTTTGCCAGATGAGCACATGCTGATAAACAGTATGAAACCACAAGGGACTGCAGGGCATGAGATCCTCAGACAATCCATAATGATCTCTGGTGGCTAAAAGCCACCTTCTTACAAGGGTGGAGCCTCCTGGTCTTGCTTTTGATGCCCCACTGCTGATCTATTTGAGAAGCTCTGGACTGCGCTGTTGTGGGGACAGAAGTTTCTGAACAAGCTGGTTGTCAGTAAGTAGCAAATGTTCCCGCTCCTTTTACCTCCACAGAAGTTGAGGTGTCTTACTCTGACCCCAAACTATCAGGGAAGCCAAGAGACCACGCATGTAGCAATCTGAACAAGTGGAGGGTGCATTTAAAGTGTGTTTGGGTGGTGCTGGGAGTGGAGAAAATCCCATCTGGAAAGGGCACAGTTAGAGAAGTGTGGTATGGCTTTGTGGCTTTTTTTTTTTTTTTTAAGATTTGAGAGAGAAAGAGCAAGTGCTTGTGAGTGGGGGGAGGATAACGGGGGAGGGAGAAAGTCCCAAGCAGACTCTGCTTAGTGCAGGGCCCAGTCTCAGGACCCTGAGATCACGACCTGGGCCAAAACCAAGAGTCAGATGCTTAACTGACTGAGCCTCCTAGGCTCAGGCCCCTCTATTTTCTCTACTGAAGGAAGCCTAAGTGGAAGTATAGGTAAGAAACCGATCTTCCTTAGGGAACATCCCTGGAGTTGCTCTCCTGCCAGCACACCCAGCCAACAGAGCACCGGCACTAGGACACAGAGGGGTGGGGGAGGTACGGGGCCTTCTTACCTCCTGGTCATCAAACTCACAATACTGTAAATCCCACTGCGCCGACAGGGTCCTCACACAGGCGTAGGTGTTATTGTAAGCATCTTCACAGACACAGTCTGGGAAACATTGCTGTAGGGATATTGAGAAAGTTAAATCAGGACAGTTACCACTTGCCTACAGGGGCAACCAAGTTGGCTCAAGTCAGACCTACCACTGGACGGAAATTAGGAAACTTTCCACAGAGAAGTAAATCAAAGATAGATGTGGGGCTTTGTTCCTTGTAGCTAACTTGATTAAGGAACATGTTTGTGGTAGTTCTGTTTGTAGACTCTTGCCATCACTGTCTGCTAATCTCATGACAAGAATCTGCTGTAGCGAGCAAGTGGAAAATGGATGGGATGGATGGTAAGGAGACAAAATCAGTCTCCTAGGAGTCATGTCTAAGGTATATTAGGAACTGTCATCTTAATGGGTTGGAGAAAAAGACTCAAGTGAGCTTTGTGGAATCAGCTGCAGGTAAGTTATTTCTTCATGTCTTCCTTACCAACTTTTGGTTGGTTCTTCACTATTCCTTACACGTTGGTATTAGGCTTTTCTCTGGAGTTGACTTTCCTATTTCCCATTATCCAAAGTGAGACCAACACTGCTCTTACCACCTTCATGACCAGCTTGGCTGCCACCAAGCAAGACACTTATGATGGCAGTTACATATAACTGTGGCAACCCCGTATCTCTACTGAAGGCCACTGATAACCTGCCTCATAGACAATGGTACACTGCTATTGGGAAGGGTAGGAAAACAAGAAGGGAAATGAATAAGAATATGGGTAGATACATGTGCTTGTTACAAAAACTGAAGAACTCAAGGTGCACATTCTGACAATAGGTCAGAAACATCGTTTTCAGGATTACTAAATTTGTCTTGTTTGTCTACTAATCTCTACATCAAGTGACAAAGTCAAGTGAAAGAGGACCAAGACTCAGATTAAGGGTTTTAATACCTGACACACCTAAATCTATGCCTTGCTGTGCTATTGGTAAGAAAACTGTCTAAGCCAACTCAAGCTATTACTCACAGATACTCCAGGACTCAGTGAAGGACAGGTTGGGTCGGTGACATTACGGCCTTCTCCTTGATATTCCACCAAGACATCTGATCGCCAAGTCAGATTGCTGGCACCTTTCTGGAAGGAAGAGCAAAAGTGGTTTCTGTGAGGCATATAGATTGTGATAAGGATCACAAAGTTATATTCTGCTAAAGGGGATGTGGGAGTCAAAACTAATTGGGACTATTCATTTAGTAGCTAAAGAGAATGGCAAAACCTGATGCAGATGAAGGCTTCTAAATAGCATGTTTTGTACTTACAGACGATAGTCAAATGCTTTAAGCATTAATACTTCTGTGAAGCAGGTTGGAAATGGAAACTATAAACTCTAAGAATTCTTCTAGGGGCACCTGGGTGGTGTACTTGGTTGAGTGTCCAACTCAGGTCTGATCTTGGGGTCATGGGATCGAGCCCTGTGCTGGGTTCCATGTTCAGCGTGGAGTCCACTTGGGTTGCTCTCCTCTCTCAGCCTGCCCCACTCCCCCCAAACAAATAAAATCTTAAAATTCTTCTAAACCCATCTGATGAAGAAATTTGTAGCCAATTACATACAAGGACAAAAATATTAAACACGGCTGGTGTGCTAAGGACTATAACAGGTTCAAATTTGTTCTTAGTCGGAATGAAGATACCATACATATATGAACTCATTTATTCACTGCACATTAGTGGAGTGAAAGGAAAGAAGCAACAGCATTTGAAATGGGAGAGTTTAAGACAGGCACACAATGGTGAAAGGAAGAAGGCTAAAGTAATAAAAGTTTTGGATCAAAAGGACAATATGAGCACTGGAAGGAAGAACACTTAGTAGTAAGGTTTCCCGAAATCCAGCTTTTAGACAAGGAATGGAGAGACAGGTGGTAACCAGAGAGAAAAAGGTGCTGACAGGAGGCTGCCCCCTTGTTCTGTAAAGAATAGCAGGTGGTGCGAAGCAATGGGAGGTTTTTAATCAGGGAAGGAACACAATTAAGGCTGTGCTTTAGAAAAGTCACCCTAGTAGCAGAGTCTAGAGATGGGGTAGAGAGAGAGAGATAGGGAGATCAGGTTAGAATGTGCTCTTAAAATGGTCTACAGCCTTACTAATCAAAGTCTGGTTTGTGGTGTTAAAAAGGAGACAGCAGGCCTAAAAAGGAGTCACTTGTGCTAAACCCCACATCAACAACCAGGACTTAATCCCTAACCTAACCTAGTTGCAGTTTCAATCCTCCAGGAATGTAACTTTCACCAGTCAACTTGAAATTACCTGGTTAGCACTAGTGAGGTAATCTGCCCCATAGGCCTTTCTGTTCCCCTTGGGAGGGTGACCTTACCTGAAACAATGCATTCTTTGCTAATAATTTCCATTATCCACCCCCTTTCCACCTTAAAAAACTTTTCCTTTTCTATAGCTCTGCAGAGGCTACCTTCTATCATAGATGAGTTGCTGCCTGATTCATGAATCACTGAATAAATTTAACAGATGGGGTGGCAGTGCCAGTAGCTGAATCAAACTTCTGACAGCATTCTGGGACAATGAGAACCATTGGCATGATACTTGTAAACTTTTTTTTTTTTTTAAATTCAAGACTTGAACTCATGACCCTAAGATCAAGACCTGAGCTGAGATCAAGAATCAGATGTTCAACCGAGCCACCTAGGCGCCCCTTTGTAAACCCATTTTTGAGTTCACAGTCCTTTCACCATTTCTGAGGGCTGTGGGTTCTAAGTTGTGATCCTAGTCTAATTGGCTTTCCAGTCCAGGGCTTAGCTGGTCACCTTCAGCTGGCAGAATGTTCCATTCAGAAACCAGTTCCCCAGCTCTTGGTTCAATCTGCAGTTCCCCAGTTACTTGGGATCTCTGTCCAGTCCACAGTCCCTATTTGCTGGTTTAGTCCATGCTGGGAATTTGCTGGTGGTGCACACAGCCTTCTCTTGGCTAGTTCCCAGTAAACCTCTCTTGCTTACTGCTGGTATGTTAAGGTACATATTTGTTTGTCATCTTTTCTGTAGATAAAAGCTACTGCTAATGAGGATCTTGGAAGCCAAAAAGCCACAAAAATTGGTGGACACGAGTATTTTACAGTGTTTGTCATCCCCAAGATGACTCCCTGTGATAGGATAAATTGGTCATAGGATGGGTTAGATGGACAGTTGGTCACCCACCAACTTCAAGAAAATTTCTGTGCAACAATGTACACTGTAAAACACCAACCCCCAAACCAGTGGCACCTTTTAGGTATTTAATTGGCTCTGAGAAATCCAAAGTCTTAGGACCTGAAACTCTAAAAAGTCAAGTCTTGCACAACGTTCTGGCACACTTGCATACTTTATGTCTAAAAACTATGGTTCCTGAAGTCATAAATATTTACAAGAATGGCAAACTCTTACTAAAAACAGCCCAGAGTTAAATGGGCCTTATGGGGACAAGTAGACAAGATCGCTCATTTAAGAAACATACTTGCCCTGCCACACCTGGCAGGCAGCCTCGGCCAGCACCAGAACTTTCCCAAGTGACCTCTTGCTGTGCCACACCCAGTGGGAGGCCTTGTCTGGCGCTAGTGCCCCTGCCCTGGGGGGTCCAGCTCTGCACATGAGAGTGACTGCAACAGTTAGCTGGACTTCGCAGCCAGCAGCACCAGAAGGCTGCCCTGCCCACAGCTGCTGCAGCCAGCTGTACCAGACAACTGCCCTGCACACCACTGAGCCCACACCAACTGCAGCCCAGCCGTGACAGGAGGGTGCACACAGCCCACATGGGACACCCCTGGAACACATGGCTTAGGTGACCAGGGGAGTTTGCCCTACTAGGTCCCCTAGGATAGCTTTGGCTTAAAGCCACTTCTTCAAGACTGGGAGATGTAACTGATCTACTTAATACGTAGAAACAAATATATTTAAACAGAGGCAAAATGAGACAGAATATGTTCCAAAGAAAAGAACAAAACAAAAACCTTGGAAAAAGAGCTAAACAAAATGAAAACTGGAAGAAACACATGTGCAGGCTAAGAGCAACATGCTATTAAACAACCAAGGGGTCAACAAAGAAATAAGAGGAAAAAAAAAATACCTTCAGACAAATGCAAATGGAAGCACAACAGTTCAAAATGTAGGAGACACAGCAAAAATAATTTTAAGAGAGAAGTTTAGGGGCACCTGGGTGGCTCAGTCAGTTAAGTGTCTGCCTTTGGCTCAGGTCATGATCCCAGGGTCCTGGGATTGAGGCTCGAATCAGGCTCCTTGATCAGCAGGGAGTCTGCTTCCCCCCCACCCCCTGCCGCTGCCTCCCCCTCCACTGCTCTCTAATAAATAAAATCTTTAAAAAAGAAAAAAAGGGTGCCTGGGTGGCTCAGATGGTTAAGCGTCTGCCTTCAGCTCAGGTCATGATCCCAGGGTCCTGGGATCGAGTCCCGCATTGGGCTCCCTGCT